CTGCCCCGCCGTAAGGCGTGCGTTGTCTGAAGGTGAAGAAGTCTGAGAACCCCTGATGGGGTCTCACCCAGAAAAGCACTAATTCTCAGAAGCCCATAAGGATCCAGAAGGTCACCCAGAGAACCCTCCCTCTTCTTTGGGAACCAACCCTTAAAAAACGTCCCGCGGGCGGTAAGGGGGGCCCTTGCGAAGGGGGGTCGCCACAGAGGGCAGCCTGGCCCAGCCCCGAGATCGCGCGTGTACACTTCTCCTTCGTCCTTCCCCGCCCCTGTCTGTTTTCGACGTCGCCCCTTTCGCTTCGGAAGCGTGATCAGTGCAGGACGGAGCGGGAGCAGGAGAGCGGCGGTGGCCGCAGAGCTAGTGTGAACACAACTCGTATCGACGGTTGCCGCTGCTGGCATGATGATGGTCCGCATCAGCCTGTTTCGGTTCGAGTGCTGGTCCAAAGAGTGACCATCGACGAAGCTGCAGCCAGTAGTGCAAACGTCGGCAGTTGCACAGATACCCCAGAAACACATGTGCGCCGTTTCACACTCAATCTCTTTTTTCCTCCTGGTCAGTTCCCCTTTTTCCGCCCTCCCCCTGCCTTTCTTCCACATGTCACAGCCTTGAGATATCTATATGTACACATATATATATATATATACATGTTGAATGTATACCAGCACTGCCGAGGCTTGTACGACCGGTTGCGGCGTTGTCCAGACCGTCCCCAGGTCGTGTCAGTCAGACCCCCATAAGTGAGAACATCGTGCACTGGGACGTTGTCAAGTCCTGGGCGGGGAGATTGAGAAAGCCAAAGACCGGGGAAGCGCTAGACTCGAGTAGGCCAGAACTCGGGTTTGCCAACGTGTTTTGACGAGCGCGTCCTGGGTGTTGACGGTCCAGTGTCCGTTGGATTTTGAAGCAGAAGTTCAGGTGAAATTTCAGATTTGATCTCGTCACGATGCGCCCGCCAGGCCAACCCGAGTCCCTCCGAGTCTTACGTCTTTTCGAAAAGAACGGATAGGGAGGCGCCCATTGTACACCCATACAGAGCCCAGCCAGACCAGGCCTTCGCCCAGGATCGGTGTGCAGATAGGCCTGCGTGGCTCACCAGGATCGGCGTGGGCGTACACGGATGTCCTCTTGATGGGAGAAGTCGGCGGCGAGCGAGGCGGGGAAGTGAGAAGGAGAGGGCCTCCTCAGATGCCGCGGGGCCTCCCAGAAACCCTCCGGCCCTCCGAGAAGCTTCCTGTGCCTTCGAGAGTTGGGCCTGCAACCTCCTCTCACCAGGCACCGGGGGACTTCCGAGCCTTCTGAGAAGGCCCGCCCCTGCTCTCTTCCGCCCCCCGAGGAAGGTCTTGCCCCTCGGCTGCCGCTTCTCACGCAGTGCAAGTGTCAGGAGCGACAGAAGGACGTACACGTACATGAATCCACGCTGGTTTCGAGAGCACGCACTGCGCAAATGTTCGTACAACGCGGCCGGTCTCGCGGATCGAGGGGCCGCGTTCATGTACATAGCTCGGCGCGTACGTCCTTTGTGGGCTCCCTAGAGTGCCCGCGACAGTCGATGTCCTCGCCTGCGGGGCCCCGGCTCGTGCACGGGAGCGGCCGGCGCGCGCTGCCGGGCAGCATGGCTCGCCTGCGTGCCCCGGGGGCGCTGCTCGTGGCCTGCCTGGCGGCGGGGTGCCGGGCCGCGAACGAGACGGTGGGCTGCAACATGGGCGCGTGCTACTTCAAGAGCGGCGTGGCCTGCCTTGGCGGCGCGCAGAGGGGGGTAGGGGGAGGGGGGGAGGCTTCTCAGGAGCACCCCTGCTTCTCAGAGGGCGCGGGCCCTCTCTCTATAGACGTCAGGCCGAGGCCTTCTGAGAAGCAGGGTGCTTCTAAGCAGCCTTTTCCCCCCTCCCCCTACCCCCTTTTGCGCGCCGCCAGCTTCCAGCCGAACACCGAGATGCTGGGCACCACGAGCGAGCCGTCCATGGAGGCTTGCCAGGCCCGGTGTGCCAGTACCATCGACTGCATGACCTTCACGTTCACGCTGGTGCCGGGCAAGCTGCCGAAGGTCGCCGGCGACTGCAGGCTGCAGAGCGCCATGTCCTGGCACAGCAACGCCAGTCTGCCCGTGCTCTCTGGGCCAGCGAGGCTGGGGATTTGCCAACCATGCACTGGCACTGATCCTCCTTTTCCACATTCCCCATCCATTTCTTCTGGGCACGATCGAAATGGTTATGAACATCATGGGGACAAAACCCGACAGCAGCGTCTGTCCACGTTGAACAGGATTCGCCGTCGGTGTAGCCGCGGACGTTGTCCGCTTGAAAGAAGGAGTCGCTTGCCCAACAGCGGCCGCTGTCGGATTTTGACAAAATTTGCTGTTGGACATTGTGTCCATTTTGTCCGTACCCATTTCGGGCGTGCCAATCCTCCCCCCCCCACCTCCTCCACCCGTGTCGGGCCCTTCCGGGCCCAAGGAGGTCGTGCCTAGCACCGGTGTCAGCGTGCAGAGGCTCCCGCAAGGTTCCAGTCCTGCTGCACCGAGACCCCGCTGCTCGTGGACGCGATGTTCACGTTCGGCGCCCCCGCCATCAGCTTCCCCGCGGCGTCGAACCCGGGGGGCCGATGCATCCCCGGCGTGCGGATGTACACGGAGAACGACAGGTTGCCGGGGGGGGGCTACGGCTGGCAGGAGGATGCCGCCGCTATGCACACTCGCTACCCGCATGCGAAGACTCCCGTGTTTGTTCTGCGGGACGCGAACAAGAGCACGTCGCAGTATTACGAGTGCTATCATACCCCGATGTCGACGGACCAGCTTGTGGAGCGTATGCCTCTGATGAAGGGGGCCATGTATCACGAGTGGAGGCTTCATGGTATCACTGACGTCTACGCCAAGCGCCTCGCCGGCATGTCGCTTCCAAACACCAGCAGGCTCTCGAAAGAAAAGTTAGACAAATACATCCAGATTGGACTGAATCTGACCGACATGGCAGATAAGACATATACACAGAATTTGTCGGCCGCGCGTGAAGCCGTCCGTCGGGATCTCCCTGGATGGAAGCTCGTCGGATACGCGAGTGTGATGGGGAAAGCTGGGGATCAGGATGACGTTCTCCTTCTCCAAGACGAGGAAAGTGGAGATTGCACTATCAGCTTTGAGGGTTCTTTTGGCATGCCTGATTTAGGATCGTTTGCTTCTGATTATGGTACAGGGTACTGCGGATTCGATGACGTGCACGTAGGCGTGCGAAACGAACTTTGGTACATAACGGCCAAGCCAGGAAAGCCAAGTTGGGCGTCTGGTATCAAGTCCAAGCTTCCAAAGTGCAGAAAGGTTATATGTGTCGGTCACTCTTTAGGAGGAGCTCTATGTGAGCTCTTCACGCTCTGTGCAAACAGTAACCGATTTGGAGACCCAGATTTCAACAAGCTTGCGTGGAAGAAGGTGGAGCCCCAGCTGATGCCCGAGGTGGACGATTATACAGAAAGGATCGCCCGCCTTTGGAGCGTTGAGCGTGGCGAACCTGTTGCTCACATCGCATTACCTTACTGGGGAATTGCTGCCCTTGCATTGTCAATGATGTTGGCGATGATGCTTCCACGGACCCTGCACGCACGAACAGGTGACAAAGAGATAAGCATAATTCAGGCTAATGCAGGCTCCAGTGGCGCCAGCGAAGCTGACAGCACCGACGTAGAGGGGCAATCGTAGGTAGATCGACGCTAGACGAGCCACCATGCAAAACATACGATCAGAATCATCAGGGCGTGGCTGTTGCCTCACAGAGTGCTAGCCTTCGTCGTAAGCCGACGCCGCGTCCGGCTCGTGCATCGTCCGCCTATCCGGCGAGGTCGTCCCTCCTCCTGTCGCAAATCATTACGACCGCCCTCCGACGACCTCTCCCGGGGGCGCCTTCTGGCCAGGATTTCGAGGCGAATCCAGCGGTGGCGACGAGGGTTTCCGAGGAGGCCCCAACAAGGGGAAACGAGGGAGGGGCAGCGGCATAGGACGCAGATTCAACCCTTTGCGAGCCCCGCCCGCAGGAAGACCCGTCACGACTGGCGGGAGAGGGTGCAGCGGCAAAATCCTCCATTCCTTCTCCTTATAGATAACTCCTCCCTGTCGCACCCCAAGGCCAGTTTTCAGGGCGGGCCGGGCGTTTCGTCTGAGACTTCCTCACCATGTATGATTCAGCTTCACAGATGGAGGGCGGGTCGCTTTCACAATGTGGCTTTCGCTTGAGCACCTCGCACATTTTCTTGAGGTTGCAAGAGTTTCACGGATTGAAGGCGGGTCGTTTTCAAAAATGTGGTTCTCGGCTTAACGCCGCGCACACTCGTTTTAGACATGTGCGAGGATCGTCACGGATTGAGGGCGGGTGGTTTTCAAAATGTGGTGCTCGCCATAGCGCCGCGCAACTTCGTTTTAGAATGTTGCACGAGCTTCACGGATTGAGGGCGGGTCGTTTTCAAAATGCGGTTCTCGCCTTAGCGCCGCGCACATTCGTTTCAAACATCCGCAAACGTTTCACGGATTGAAGGCGGGTCGTTTTCAAAATTTGGTTATCGCCTTAGTGCCGCGCACACCCGTCTTAACAACTGCAAGAGTTTCACGGATAAAAGGCGGGTCGTTTTCATAAGTTGGTTATTGTGTTAGCGCCGCGAACATTTGTTTTAAACATTTGCGAGGGGTTCACGGAGTGAGGGGGCTCTTTTTGCTCTGCGCACATTTGCCTTTTAACAAAAAATGCAAGAGCTACACGGATTCCCATGATCAACGCACCAGAACTGGCGTTTGGGAAGGATTCAGGAATACAGGCGGCCCGGATTAGTAGGTCGGCCCTGCCAAATCAAGGGTATTCGTGTGTCTTGTGCATCGTGCGTCGTGTCCTCTGCAGCCCAGCCCTTGCGTCCTGGGCCATGTTGCGGTCGGAAGAGTCATGTGTCCTGTCGCGCGTCCTGTGCGCAATGCTATGTCTGTACGCGGGCGCAACATATATGTCGGAAATTGGAACATATACACTACCAGTGGCAGGTTGTTTCTTCAACCCCACGACTTTTTGAGGGTCGGGGACGACGTCGGGGTGGTGTGGTGTATACTTGTCCCCCGTTTTCTGTGGCAAACAACGAAAAATGTATACACCAGGATCCAGTATACACCAGGATCCGCGCTCGTGGGCGAATTTTAGCGCTGGGTCGGAAATAAAAACGTCGGTGTATAGAGCTCGTTTCCCTGATATGTTGATTCGTTGTGATGAAATCCCAAAAATGGCCGTACGACACGATTCTGGACTGTCAAGACGCAGCAGTCAGGTTCATGCGTGACGTTGAAATCCCGAGAACAATGTTTCGGCACGCTTTGGGATCTTCAGACTGTTATCTTCCAGCGAGGCAATTCCCTCAATGGAAATGAACCGTTGTAGGGGCCTATGAAAAGGGAGCTTGGAGGGAGGGTTAATTCCAACATCGTTCATGACTCTTGGGCCTCCATTTATCCTCCTCCTCCTCCTCCTCCTTCTCCCGTCCTCCTCCTCCTCCTCCTCCTCCTACTCCTACTCCTACTCCTACTCCTACTCCGTTTCCTCCTCCTCTTCCTCCTCCTCCTCCTCCTCCTCCTCCTCCTCCTCCTCCTCCTCCCCTCCTCCTCCTCCTCTCTCCTCCTCCTCTCTCCTCCTCCTCTCTCCTCCTCCTTTTCCCGGTCGCCCTCGGCCGTCTGGTCGGGGCCGCCACGGCGTGGAGGAGGAGGGCCCCCGAGAGCGAGCGCGCCCCGCCCCGGGCCGCCCCGCGGCTCCACGCAGGAGAGGCCTGTCGCCGGAGTGTTTTTTTGTTGAGGCCTCGTCTTCCTCCTCCTCCTCCTCCTCCTCCTCCTCCTCCTCCTCCTCCTGCTCCTCCTCGTCCTCCTCCTCATTACCCTCCTCATTTTCCTCTCCTCCTCCTCCTCCTCCTCCTCTCCTCCTCCTCCTCCTCCTCCTCCTCCTCTCCCTCCTCTCCTCCTCCTCCTCCTCCTCTCCTCCTCCTCCTCCTCCTCCTCCTCCTCCTCCTCCTCCTCCTCCTCCTCCTCCTCCTCCTCCTCCTCCTCCTCCACTCAAGCCATTATGGTGCGAGGTCTCCTTTGGGGCGAGGCGGCCTCCACAAGTCACCACACGCGCGTACCGCGCACGGGCCGGCGCCAGGCGCCCGCTACGTGCGTCCGCGGCTTGAGGGGCGCCTTCGGGCGGCAAAAGTCGTGTGGTGCCGCGAGCTCACGTGTATGGGCAAGACGGGAAGCCAGAGGCGTGCTTCGCGCTCAGTTTCCAGGCATGGCGGCAAGAACCGCCACGAGTACTACGTCTGCGTGCATTGCCCTCGTTCTTGGGTGTACAAGTCTCGTGCTGGCCAGCCTGGGTGGGAAGGGTGTCAGTCCTGCGGCGCCCCTTGGCCTGCCAGTCGCAACGGGGCAACAGCAGGTCGCTCCGTCTCCTTCAGCATGGACGACACCCCGCTGGTGCAGCAGCTCATGCCCAAGTACAAGGCGGCGCGCGAGGCCAAGGACGCCGCCGCCATCCAGGCCCTGGAGTTGGTCTGTCCCGAACTGGCCAAGGTCGCGGAGCCCGAGCCCTCGCTTGCGATCCTCCTGGAGCAGGCTGCGCGGCAGCTGCGACAGCTCCACGGCCAGCAGAAGCAGCTCAAGGAACAGATCGTGGCAAACGCCAAGACGGGCAAGGAGCTCCTCCGTAGGCTCAACGAGAACATCAATGCCTGCAACGCGGCGCAGGAGGAGGTGGACCGCTACTCAGCACAGACGGGGACCCCAGGGATTCCAGCGGCCAACCCAGGGAACGGCGGCCCTGCAGATGACACCGAGTTCCCCTCTCTCACGGACGAGGACCTCCAGCTCCTCACACCTGAGCAGCAGCAGTACTACAAGGATGCGGCCGCAGCGGCGCAGCAGGCCCAGGCCACCCTCCAGTCCGCCACCGACGCGGGCAAGCAGGCGAGGGAGGCGGCCGCCACGCTCCGCAACCTCCGCGAGCAAGTGGCCACGACCAAGCGGCGCAAAGCTGACGCGGCCTGTGGAGTGGCCCCAGGCGGCGGCGGCGCAGCCGCAGCCGACGCCTCGGCCCCGCCGCCCGTGGACGCTGGCGGCCATGACTTCAGCAACCCCGAGGCGGTCGAGGCGTACATCAAGACCACGGCCTCGCGCAGGACGGCCGTGGCGGGGGCCGCGGCTGCCAAGGCGCCTACGGCCGCGCCAGTGGCTCCTGCGACGGCAGCGGCAGCAGGAGCGGCGATCCCAGGCAAGGGCGACGGCAAGGGCGGCAAGGACCAGACGAAGGGGTAACACGGCTGTCGAAGGACGACCCGCTCGTAGGAGCGAGGGCCGCCAGGGGCACAGGTCGGCCTCAGCCAGGACCCCCTTCGGCAAGAGGGACTTTGCTTCGATACTCTTCGGCAGCGTCACCTCGTATTCTCTCAAGGTCAAGAGGTTCATCGAGACGTCCGACCACGACATGATCGGCTTTGCGGCGCACCACCTCTGCAAGGGCAAGTGCGACCAGGAGGAGAAGCGCCTCCGCAGGTTTGGCCGGCGCTCGGAAGGGACATGGACGCCAGCAACTCCCTCTACTCGTTCAGCCTTGGCCACCCACGGCGGCACTTGTTGGCTGAGGAGAGCCACCAAGGGGATCAAGCGCTGTCAACGCGACAGGCAGCGGCACGCAGAACTGCAGCAGGCCAAGGAGGAATGCAGCCAGATGCAGGAGGGCGGCCTGCTCAACGACGACGAGGAGCACCTCCTCGACGACACCTACACCCAGTGGCGGCCCCAGCAATGCAACGACCACGTCATCAGGCGCCTCCTCATCGCCCAGGGGCCCGTGCCTGACGACCAGCAGCAGGCCACCAAGGGGAAGTGGCGGATATACCTGGACGACGACAAGGTCCTAGGCCACGGCGAGCGCATCCGCTACTCCAGGACCTTCCCCGGGTGGCAGGCCTTCGCACTCAAGGTACAGGCGAGAGCGGCCAGGCATGCCAGCCTGGCGTGGCAACAGACCCGCAGCGAGGTGCAAGCCCGGGCCAAGGCGAGCACCCAGGGCTCCATGCGAGGGGCCCACCGCTATCTCAAGAAGGACGAAGTGCAGGCCCTTGACGAGACCTGCATCGACCCCGACACTGGCGAGGTCTGCGACTCCGTGCAGGCCTCCACAGAGGCCAGGGCACGCCGCTGGCGTGACCGTTGGACCAGCAAGCCCGACCGTGAGCCTGCCCTGCGTGAAGCGCTGAGCGAGCTGCGGACCCTGGCTCGTGAGGCGCTGCTAGAGCGGCGCTACCGCACTAGAGACGACATGGCGAACGCCGTCAGGACCTTCCCCAGGGCCACGGGCAAGGGTGCTGATCAGTGGACGCCAGGTCACCTCCTCGCGGTCTCCGACCAGGGGCAGGAGGCCTTCGCCACCCTGCTCAACATGGTGGGGCGCGCACTGGCCTGGCCGCACCAGCTCCTCCACAACTGGTATGCCCTCCTGCCGAAGGGCGCCAAGCAGGTGGTCGGCAACGAGAGGGACATCGGCCTCCTTCCCTTGCCCGCGCGCACCTGGGGCCGCATGGCCAAGGCCGCCTTGGCGCAGTGGCGCGACAAGCGAGCTGGGCATTGGGACGCTGCGGCGCGGGGGAGTTCCGCGCTGCAGGCAGCTCTGCTCACCATGGTGCTCGACGAGGCTAGAGCGCACGTCGGCGTGGCCGAGCAGAGCCATTTCTTGATGGACGTGGAGAAGTTCTGCGACTGCATCGACCTGTCCTTGATGATCCATAAGGGCATCTCCCTCGAGGTGCCGCCCGTCGAGCTGCACCTCCGCTGCCTCACGTACCTGGCGCCGCGCGCGGTCAAGTCACACGGGGCCTTCAGCTCGAC